TACCTAAAGGACATTTTTTTTTCAGTGTTCTCATCCTTTCTCTTCACCTTGTCAATGGAAGATGACAGCTGACTGGAAGCCCACAGTCCTTGCAAGGTTGCCACACTTCCTTTAAAGCCCAAGGGAATGGGGAAGGGTGTTCAGTGACAGGATCAAGTCACCCCTGACTGCTCTGTGGCAGACACCAGGGCCCAAGGGATTCTAGCAGGGATCGTAATTTATTTTCAATCCCTGTATATCATCGAGCACACTGACAATGCTGAAGTACCTGCACACAGACATGCCTCAAGATGCTGAAAACCCTTGGACTTGTGTCTTGTGCATATAGGTGTGTGTGTCTGCACATACCCAGATCAGGAACGCCTCAAACTCAGAATTAACAATTCAGGGTAGCTGCCCCCACAGGGCAAGAGCCTTTCTCCAAAGCAAACTACAGCAGGCTGGATTTCTGTTTATTTGGTTTCTCAGGAAGAAAAAAGTGTTATGTCACCTTAAAAAAAAAATCACTGTCAAAGCCACATTTGGGTAAGCTGTTCTAACATTTATTTTACTCCACTGATAGGAAATAGCACCTTAGCTCAAGCTTGAATTTGTGCAACCCAGCTTCCAGCCACAAGATTCTAATGAAATTTTCATCATCATCAGGTTTATATTCAGTTCGGTTTACAGCGAGATTTTAAACATTTTTAGAAATTACACATTTGCTCTGTCCTTAGGCACATTCTTTCAACTGGAAGGGAACACCTTCATTATTAAAACAATGCCCAGCAGCTCAGAGAGAAAACATACCTGCAAAATACATCACAAGAACCAATTTCTGAAGGAGTCACTTCCCCTCCTCCCAAGTCCATCTGCATATTGCAAATGAGCTCAATGTTGAGCTGCTCCAAACAGCATGCACCTCTGACAATACAGATTTTTCTTCTTCATACAGTTCATCTTAGTACAGAGAAATCCGAAATATCTAAAAATCCCACTGGTGTCAGTTTAGTCACATGGAAATATTTTTTAATCACTCAAAAGGCAACCACAAAAGCTGCAGAGGCAGTATGCTGAGTGATCACCAGTCCTAACTCCAAACTGAGAAACGAGCAGTGATAAATGCTTTACTAAAGCCTTTGAACCAAAGCTGCAAGCTCGTATATTCAGTGTCTATGTAGAACTGGTGGTTTTGCTCTAAATTACCTGAATTAAGTTCAAACCAAAGATGGAAAATGTCAGCAAAACAAGAACTGAGTGCCAGAGGGACTGGAACTTTCAGTTGAACAGAGTAAAGATTAATTTATTTTCCCAGGAAACAACCAAGTCTAAGATGCGTAAACAAGTCTGTTTAATTTACAATTAAGCTACTATATCACACAATTGGTTTATGTAAGTTCTTCCCAGTATGATGAAAAGCCTCTCCTGTTACCATACCAGGTTTTAAACCTGATTATAATTAAAAGTTTAAATTAAAAATATTTTTCTAGTAGGCACACATAGGTTTTCATTTTCCAATATTGTGCTTGGTGTCATTAACCTACAAAGACTCTTACTAAAAATAGTGGGAAAGGGGACTTGCTAATGCAACTCATACATTCTGCCCTGTTCTTTCTGGAAGCAAAGCAGCTGTTTAATGCATTTCACTGAAAAAAAATTAAAGTTACCCATAGGGAAATTAATACCTGTTTACACCAGCCAAGAACTTCCACTTAGAGCTTGAATCAAGATTGCCAAAGAAAAAAAAGTACGCACGTTAGAAGGAGCAGCAGTACCTTAAAGGAGTCTGGTTTTGTAGACTCCAGGCTCCATCCCAGTAAAATCACGGTTCCTAGGGTCTCTGACAGTATTTGGAAGCCTTAAATTTTCATTTTGATTATTTATCTTTAAGGGATAAAAAGTAATAGCAAAATCTTATTAATCTAAGGAAAGAAAGACAGGCTGAAGAGTGAGACTTTATTCGTATTTGTTACTGATTCACAACCCAAAGTATGATAAAACTGATAAAAACCAGCCTAGAATAATGTTAGTTTACATCACTAAATTCAATTCACATTTTATTAAAATACCAAAAGGAAAATGACAACATTGCAGGTTCAGAAAAATGGGTTGGCTACTATGACTGAAATCTACACTATCTTTACTGGTCACAACTGATTGCTCGTTTAATGCTTATTATTTAAAAGTAACACAAATGACAATTTCAGACACACCCAACTTCTGTGCTCAGAAAATATATCTTCTGTCATATCAAATTTCAGTAGATTGGAAAGAATTTTCTGCTGTGATATTTCATGTATTAAAAGAATACTGAGAGTACTCTCCCCCCCTACACAACGACGTAACGCTGCGCTTTTGCCCTACCCGCCCAAAGAATCATTTTGCAGGTCACTTGGAAGCACACCGCAACGCTCAGAACAGACCGCCTCGCACCCAGCGATGAAAGCCACCATCAGGCCATGGCCTAAACTCTGTCCTCTCTGGTGGACGCACAGACCTCGGCCCCCAGGGGACAAAATAAAGCAGACTTCCGCTCTGTATTTTAAGGCAAAGACGAACCCAGCTCCAACTGAAACGGAGGTGAGTACCTTCAGCTGCTGCCAATTCCCAAGCGCCGTAGATGCTCACCATTATGCAGAGATGGGCCGTACCTTATGGGATGAATTCTAACACCAACACTGAGGCAGCGTGTTACTGCCCCACCATAAAGTCAGCCACCACAGACTGAAAAAATCATGCGCAGGTCAAACAGCAATGGAGCAGCCAACAGTTCGCATGCAAACATCGTGTTAGACTGGTACATTCTCAGGACTAAAACTGTTAATTGTGTAAACACAGGTTAGACAATTATCTTCCGGTTCTCTTTTTATTTTACATACTTTTTTTTTAACCCAAGAACAGACAGTGCCTCACAGAACAAAGGAGCTTTACCAAATGTTAGACCTGGAATTACACAGACTTCAGTTACAAAGATTAAAACTGTAACCTGGTAAGGAAAGAACTCTTCCCCTGCTATGAATACATTTCTAAAAGCCTCATTAGGCAAAGTAGCAGCCTGACTCTTGGTCCAGAAGAGAGAGGAAAACACAAAAACAAAAAAACATTTTAATACTGTACTGTAGAAGAAAAAAGAATTATTTTTAAAGAAAACAGAGACAGCCAAAGCAGACTCTATGGCAGCAACTGTTCCAAGGGAAGGAGAAAACAAGTGTATATATATATATGGCATAGTACCTAAACAGCCATTAAAATCACTTTAACTGCCAATGTTCTATCAGTGGGATGTACTGGGAAAGAAATACAATCAAAGTAATAGTTGTTTTGAGTAAACGTGCTACAGGAAACAGAAAACAATCTGTCATGGCTATACATGTACAAATCAACAACAAAACTTATTTACAAACATTTATACCTACAGGCATAAAGACCAAGCTTAATACTTGTGAAATGCACCCGATTGCTAGATCTGGACTGTTCCAATCTTCCACGACAACAGAGTAACTGTTCTACACTGCAATGACCATATGGCTTCAGCCAGGTCCAGCCTGAAGACTTTGCATCTTGCTGACCTGTACTGTAAAACCAGAAAGCTCTACAGGTACTTTAACTTTCACGTGTAACATGGACGTGCATCTGCTACCTACCTGAGGCTGCCCAGCACTCTACCCAACAAGCAGCCAGCAACCTAGAGCTGTTACAAACTTCACCAGTCTGCTCACAAAATGTTAATTTTGGACCGTGCGGATTCATTCTTCAAAGCATACGTTTCATCATCTGCTACATATTTAAGATAAGAAGAAATATCATATAATATCAATCCTGTATGCAAAAAACCTAAGCCCAGAATTGATCAAAAATGGACGAAGATGGGCATAATTAGTAACTAATAAAAAAGCTAAGAGTCATATTTATGGAACGCAACACTCAGTCATAGAGCTAACTGCCCTGCAAGACTAACAACCAGACCAATTCACAAGTACCTAAGTTGCTTACATAATTAAAAGAATAAGATGTAAAGTCAAAAAATATATTTTAATCCCTTCGGATCAGGGAGGTAAAATAAAATGCTGGTTCTGTAACAGTGCAACAACTGCAGCATATTTTGCACACAGCGCATGATTTGCTACATTTAGTGGCACTTAAGTATTATGCGGTAAATACTGAAAGTAAGACAAGTGTCTGATCTGCATAAGCATAATCACATCATTACTACCAGAGTTACTAAGCTGCAGCATTCTGAATAATACCAATTGAATTTCAGCACTTCGATCTCTCGCCTTAATACATGTCAATGTCCTGCTTTACACGTTGCTAAGAAAGCAAATCACTGAAGCCAAGTATTTCATGAACTTGTCACTGGGCCTGGATCAGGTTCAATCTGACCAATCGTTCTCGTCAAACTCTGAATCATCATCGGAATCACTGTATTCCACGGCAATGCGTCTTGAAAGGATGGTTGCCACATCATTTCCAACAGGCTCTCGCTTTGCTTCTTGTTCGCGTTGCTCCTGCACCTTTTTCAGCTGAATTCCTGTAGAGACAATTACTTTCAAAGTTTTCTGCACACGAGATTTTAAATTTCATATTGTTATTGGTGAGTTTTTTTTGCATTCTAACAATACATTCAGGAAGAAAAACCAAAGAAACCACTGAGTCAGAAAGACTCCCTGAGCAAGGAAGAGAAAGACAAAAAAAAGGCAGATCAGAATCCATTCTCAGAGACTGAATACTTGCAGACTTCTAAAACTGCCAACAACAAGTTAAGACTAAATAGTCAAGACAAGTACAGGTCCTTTTCATCTGAAGATGAAAGTTTTCATAGTTGTATTTGGAAATACCATTAGAGCCACAGCTCTGTAGTGTAAGCAGAGTCAGGAACAGCCACTAGTCACTGGTGAAAAGTCAGTGGGCTGAAGCCTGGTGTTGGATAACCCAGTTCTTCTGAACAGAGGCAAAAAATCCACGTACATCTACTGGCTACTTTACATAATGAACACAAGCACTGTTTTCATTTGATTACGTCCACACAAATACCAGAACATGCCTGACGAAGCTCTACATCTTTAGGCATTAGAAAAAGATCCAAAGTCGGGGTCGACAAATGTCAGAATAGGTCTGTGGTACCTGTGGTTAACTAGTCTTTCAACGACATTCTGCCCTGCTGGGAACAGAAGCTGTGAACTCAGGTCACTGGAAAACACAGCGCTTTCCGTGAAAAAAAAGCTAAAACTCCACTTACCCATTCGAATGGCAGCAAGAAGATCACTCCGTGCATCACTTATGGGCGGCTGTGCAGGCTCATGCCGCTTCGCCTCCGTAGCTGGAGCAACATGCATTGGGGATGAAGAGAGGGATGAACCTGTAGCAGGAGGGCCTGGAGGGGGAGGAGGTGGGCCAGGAGGAGGAGGAGCAGTGACAACAAGCCCACTAGAAGGAGGAGGATGAGTAGCCGCATACGTAGAGCCAGTCGCCAGTCCAGAGTGGGAAGGTGGCACAGGAAGCTGAAGGGGACTAACAAATGCAGTTTGTGCTGAAGGAATCATAGGGGGAGGAGGAGGAGGGGGAGGACCTGTAGGATTGTAATAATCCACCATCTGAGCTGGAAGCATCCTATAGAAAACAGAACAAAAACATTTAATGCATTGAAAGTTAGGACTTACAGAAGCATCACCCCTTAAACTGCTCTCATCCAACCTTAGCTAAAACAAGTATCAAAAGGAATTTAAACTGGTGAGTTAAATATGCACATGGTTATAAACGCATGAATTGTCAAATATTGGTAATACATTGCGATTTAAGGGACATGAGAAAGTTAAGGGCAGTGACCTTTCAGCACTCCACAAGGTGAGAAGTTTATCTTAATACTCCTGCCTAGTTAAGTATAAAGCTGTATTTGTTAGTAAACAACTACTCTGTGCAAACATGAAGTACAATGCCTATCATGAAGGGACCAAGAAAACTGGAGACTATGCATGTCGCTTCCATAGAAGACCAAGTGTTAGAACAAATACTAAAAGATAATAAAAGACATAGGCATGGAGGACAATGGAAAGTATGAATGGAAAGGTTTCCCCAAAGGTATATCATGCATCTCATGTGATTCTTCAGTCAAGTTTATCAATTTAAATATTATGTAATTAAATTGATACATTTGATTGATACTTTAAAAAGGAAGAACAGGGAAGAGCCAATTTCTTTGTTAAAAGAATTCTTAAGCAGAAAAAATGGGAATATAAAAGTTATGAAGTAGGTAAAGAACTAGATACAGGAGACAGGAGCTGAAGGAAAGTTACTGATAACATTCAGTGACACATGCCAACGTATGACAACTGTGATACACTGACAACGGTCATGTACCTGGGGACTAAGCACAAGTATTTGTTATAAACTGGAAATAACAGAAAATGGAGGTTGGAGCAGTCAACCACAGCATAATTGAGTCATCTCCAGCATGATACAGTCATGAATTGGGCACATGCTATCCCAGGATGCATCAAGTGAGGCTGAAAAACCTTGGCTTGCTTAGTTTAAAACAACATAGGCAAGAATGACTACAATTTTCCTGGGGTTACAACTTAGAAGTTTAAGCTATTTAAGCAAAAGAACAAACAGCCACAGACTGGTTAGAAAACAGATGTTTTCTTGCTATCAGAGAGCCAGTACTCTGGAGCAAGCCTTCCTTTCGAAGGCTTTCAAGGCAAAACATCTACATAGGAGTTTGATAAAACCGTATCTTGAATTATGGAGGTGTCTGTGGCAGTAGGGACCTTGATTCTGTGTCTGAGGAGATCCCTTCCAATTCTGTCATAAGCTCCTTGTTATATGTCAATGACATAAAAAGTCATTTCAGGGATGCAACACAGACTGCCACATTAACCACACTGAGCAATATGTTTTCTGCACATTTCCTGGAGTTTAAAATACTATTCAAATTACAATTTAACTATTTTCCACTTTAAAGGAAAATGATCCCCTTTTTAATACTGTATTAGGAACCCTCAATATCTTACAAGCATATTGATTTCACCACATTCAATACACAGTTCATTATTTCTGCTTTCACTATTTCTTTACTTAAATTCAGTTCACACAGAAATTACACCATTTTTTTCCTGTCCTCCCCAGGGAGATAACTAGTGTGTTTGGGGTCTTTTTGTGCATACGCATTGTATCTTACAATGGTTATGAAAAACATGCATCCCTCTAGTTTTGCCAAGAATCCACTTGAAGAAATCAGGAGTTTTACCCATATTCTGCTGGTACCACAGGTACTGAGCTATGTTGGCCATCTGAAGGCTGGGGTGGAGGTGGAGGTGGTTGCTGAGGTCTGTTTAAAGTAGCATGTCGTACAGTGGTGGAAGGTGGTCTATATTCATGCTCATGGCTTTGGGATGCTGCCATGTACTGTGGACCATCTCCTGTTCCATATGAAGGCATTGCTATCTGCTGATGGAGGGAATGATTCGGAGTAGCAGGATAAGAATAATCTGTAACATCAGATGCATGGGACCTAAAATTAAAGTAAATGGATGCAGAAGAACAAACAGATTATGTGAGTGTAACAGGGTATTATCTAAACAGCTCACGAGAAAAGCTAAAAAGAATGCAACCAGAATTATTCTCAAGCACCATTCCCTTCTAAGTCCACAGAAAGCACAAGAACAAATGCAACAAAAAATCATGGTTCAGCTTAACATGACTTGAAAATAAATTAGTCTGACAAGTCAGCATAAAAGGACTGAAACAGAATGTTTTCAGTATTTCAGCAAACTAGCTGCATGCAGAATGTCCTCCTATAATGCAGACTTCAGAAAAAACAAAACAAATGTAGAGCTTTCTCCAGATTTTAGACTTCTTTAGTAGCCATAAGGAGGCATACTGCTTTTGTCAATGATTTTGATAGTTCATTGCTTGAAACGGAAATACTTATCAGGCCTGCCTTAAGTTAACAACGGTAGCAGAAAAAGGAAAGCAATACTGCAAGCACTCACAATTATGCAGAAAAACGTATTTTACCAAAGCAGAGAAAACCAATTTCAAAAGTTAGAAAATGCTTTTTATTTGTTTGCACAATTAATTTTGCTGGAAAGGCTTAGAGAAACTGAGAAATGTAAGCATTAGTTGAGCAGAGAGTTCATAAAGATACAAAGTCTAGGATGCTCTGTCAAATTAGCCCAAGAGAGGGAGCAAAAGGATCTCTTCATCCCGTTACTGCAAATGTTTTAGTAATGAACAATCGTGCAGCCTGGCTTTTAGTGAACATAGTAAACTGATGCACTTATCTGTAAGACTAGAGGCAAGGTAAGCAACAAAAAGCCAGGGCTTTGAGTAAAACAAAACGACAAACCCTTTGGGCATTTTGTCCTCTTTCATGCTTCCTGCCTGTTCCATTTTCTTTGCGTCACTCATGAACTCAATGCCCATTTTCCTTCTCTCCCACTCTTCTTTTCTTGTTCTTACTTTTCTCACATTAATTTGCTGGTTTCTGTTTGGGTTCAGCTTGTGTTTCTCTCTCTAAAGTACAATAAGTATAACAAATACATTGTAAATTGCCACAGTCTGGACACTCAGATGTCACTGTTTAATGAGTAAGTCTTACAATTAGCAAACGAGAAGAAATATGAGAGTTTTTTTTACTTTAGCATTGAAAAAGAATCGCAATATAGCCAAACGAACCTGCTTTGGAACGTTATTTATAAAACGCTGCTCATACAGTAGCTGTCGGTGTAACAATGTCTCTGAAACCAGTACTTACGTCCAGATGTATGGGGGTTTTATAGCTTAGTTCCTACAGGTAAGGCTACCCCAAGAGAAAAAGTAGAAAGCCTTCACCTCACTATCACTCTCAAAATTAACCCTTCATGCAAGTAAAAACACAGATTTCAGGATGCAATCACTGATATTCACTGAAATTCAAAGTTCTCCATACATTATAAAATTTGAAAGGCTTATAGAAGTACAAGATGTGTCACACCATGACATCTCTATCCAACATTAATGATGCATCCTACAATTTCTGCTTACAAAATCCAACAGATTTTGTAGGTATCTGCAAAAGTCACATATATGTTCACATGGCTGGGAGATACAAACAAATCACTTCAACATGATTACTGAAGCTTGGGAATCCTGAGAGCAAAGTGTTAAGGTTCAAAAAAGACTCAAAATGTGTGAAACAGAACTCATGATGAAAAACATCCATGTCTTGCATTTGACAGCTGACCAGATCAACCTATGGAAAGCATAGTCTTAGTGAAACATTACAGACTGACAAACAGGAGAAAATGTTTGCATTAGAAACTGTAAAAAGAAATAAAATTGGCAATTAAAGTATTTAAGACAAAGACAGGGTGTCTGAATATATGATTGAAACAGCAGCAATTTTCTTTAAATTTTCTGCTTCAGTTACAAGTCGATTACTCTTCACAAAGACCAAAACATTACATACACAAAGTTCTGAGCATTTTGGGGTTTTTTTTAATTAATCTCCACTGAACAGTGGACTGAAGGTATCAGTCCACACTTTTGCAGTGGTGGCTGCTTCCTCAACCTAATTCAATAATTTAAACACTAAATTGTCACACACTTTTCCCAGTAGAATCTATTTATTTCTAACATTACTGCTAGCAATTAACCACAACAGAGGAAATACACTAAATGCAACAATCCTCTAGTGAGACCAGCTTAGTGAAAACACCTCAGACTTCTGTGCATACCAGGAGAAGGTAACTGCCACTGAGCTCAAAGGGAATCTCAGTCAACGAAGATGAATTCTACTGTGTGTCCCCGAGCAGAGATTTCTGCTATTTCAAGCAATAATGTTGCATCTGTTTTTGTAGCTTGCTTTTTAGACAAATAAAACATCAATAAAGCTGAACTATTCCCCCATTAAAGCATTCTGTTAGAGGCAAAAATATGCTCGACTGAGTAGATGACAGAAACATATTAAGCTACCAGCAGCGTAACATACAACAAACTACACACAAAGGAAGAAGCACTGACAGTATCTAGTAGAGGCAGACTTAAATGCTTTTGTAACTACATCTACTGAAGATCAAAGCATGCAAACACTTATTTCACTACAGTGCACAACATAATGACAAAATGCTCACCTGAAGCTGATGAAGAAAAAAATATCATTACAGAGTTTGTTATTCATGCTTTAAAATACTTTTGAGAAGAACTTTAATACATGTATTGTACGTTTTGTCTATTCTAACTATGCCCAACCTGTAAAAATACCTAACTCTACTCAGTATTTTTGAACATACAACTGTGGTATAACAAACAGCTTTGCTGTAAACAGACCTAGTATCTGGGGACAGTGATCCCTCGGAAGATGCTCCATGGTACACACTTTGAGACAACCTGTTGTCAGGTCTAAGCTCTTTGTCATATGCCATCATATTCCACTCCTGGCGTCTGTTCCTGGCTTTTCTAACCTTTTTCACCTCACGGGTGGTGCCATCTATACGCTTTTGCTCCTGATGTTCAAACAAAAGAAAGAAAGCATGCAAAGAGAGAAAAAAAGGAAAGGAAAAAAGCTGGTTAAAATGCAGTTAGAGTGCATGGAAATAAGCCCAGATTTACAGATGAAGCCAAGTCTCCACAAAATTTCTCTGCACTGAAAATGAGGGCATCTCCTTGCGCTATGAACCTCATTAGTAGTAAGACTCCTGCTTTGCCCTTCTTCTGTAGGATACACGCACTACTGGGATACCGACCTACTGTTTTCCCCAATACAGAAGTGTGACTGATTTTAAAAGCCAGAAAGTTTAACTTCTTCTGACATTGTATGCCATTTATTTAAACCATCCTGAAAGACTTGTAATTTCCTTCTCCTGCCAATCAATCTTATGAGAATGTTAAATATGCTCAGGGTTATTTGTTAGGGTCACAATCATCTAAGGCCTTGTGGAAGTGGGGAAAAATTAGAAACACTTTCCTGTTTCATAGTCTGTGTGAAATTATTTTGTTTGTTTTAACATCCTCTCCCTTCTTATATCTGATTACCTACTGGAATTCCTCCTAGTTTTTCCTCATCATTGTTTCCCATTATTTCATATAAAAATGAACGACACTGACTCTTTCTGCAATGTGTCAGTAATATTCAGGCCAGTAATATATTACAGCTTGATAGCTTCATGACAAATCAGTCTGTTTAGTTTTTTTAAATCTTTCTATATAATTTCAGGCCAAATCAATGTCAGTGTTTATCTATCAGTAAGATCTCCTAGTAGTGGAACTCAATGCTTTCACACCTCTGAAATGTTGTCCTCGGCTACTGCTGACTACTCAGTACAAATATAAAAAGAAACATATTGGTGCTTCTGTAGGAAAACCAAGTTTGCTCAATCCAAACTGAGAAAGGTATTTATGTGCTACTCCTTTTCTCAATGTTTACAAGGGTGCTGGATTTTTTTTATTTAATCAACTCTAGAGCCCACATCTTAGAATGCTGTATCATAACTAGGTTAAACATGTTTTACCTATTAATAAGTCAGTATCAGGCTTCCAGCTGCTAGAAAATATTTTCTCAGGAAAGAATTATATCCCTATTCTGAGAATTCAGTCATATTCAATGTTACTTAGAGAAGAGTTCAGTAAAATGCTGATACATAAGCATTTTATTGTAGAATCTCTACCTTCAAAGTAAGGGATAATAGTCAGAGAGCCAGCCTCACCAAAAAGACAGACATACATGGCAGATGAACACAGGTATTTTACTCCAACTGTCAAACAGCGCTGAGTAAATAAATCTGAAATAATGTATTTAGGATTATACAACTAACAAAAATCTATCAAATGGTCTCCCTGCCCTTGTTTTGGATCTTTTGCTTGCTCATGCATGTCTGTAAGAGGCACCTGCTGATCCTCATCCGCTAACATGAAGAATGACAGAGAAAAGTCTTTTTGAAGTTCAACTTCCAATTGTGCAGGCAACACTTGCTCATTCCTGGCCCCTGCAGTGAGTAGATTTTTGTTCTGATTCCCGTTAAGTAAAGATCATCACCTTGGTTCTTCACTCCTTCCTAGAAAAATCTTTTTCCTCCCCTACTTTTTAGAATCACATCCTTTTTTATCCAGGTTATGCAAGGCTTCACTTCCTCCTTTAACACCACTTCACATCAACATTTCCCATACAGGAATTGAAGCAGAAGGGAGACAGATTCAGTCATGCTTTATTTTAAGTATATAAAGTTTTGCTAATCACCATAGTTGAATATATGCTTGTTAAAGCCTTTAGATCTGTCTTTTTCATTTGATTGCTGCAAAATTTAATTTGTTTTAATTTGTGACTATTATCCTGGTTCATTTATTAAGACTTTGTTGTTAAATCATGCTAGACTTGAGGAAAGTACAAGTAAGCTTTTTGGTTAACTGAAAATACACTTTAGTTGTCTCCTCACAGAATAGTAACCCCATCCTCTAAGGGCCACAACTACATATTTCTTGCAAGTTTCTAGGTGAAGTAAATATCCATCTTTTGACCAAAGTATGATGCTGCTTGGATAACAATCATTTAGTTACAATCCCTGTACAATCAGGAGAGCTTATGTGACAGCTTACATATGACTTATCTAAAAGTTTGGTTTTAAAAAGATCACTACTTTTTTATGAAGGTAAATATATATGCATGTATAAATAAACAATGCAAAAAACACAAAGCTTACTTTGTTTTTATTGGATCAGATTTCAGTTGGGTAGGTTACTCCAGACCAGCATCCACAAAGTGTGCTAATGAATAAACATGCTAGAACCCTTTTTTACTCAAACAGTACTAAACCCTACTGGTATTCATTTTGGGATTAAATACTAGATGCATACATCTCTAAAACATTTAATTTCTTCCAAAACAGTGGGGCAGGCCAATTACTAGCAGCTGACAAAACTACATATACCTCTAATAGAGTAGGTTTAAGTTGTTCCAGTAATGCTTCCATTACCTTGACAAACAACGGTGACAGCTCTAGTTTTAGTACCTAGGGCAATGACAACACAGTTCCACGGGAGCTGAAGCCTTTCAAGATAATTACAGTTAGAAAAGTTAAGCAACATTGAGAAGAATTACTTCCTTTAACCAAGTGTAATAGAAGCTGTGGCAGACAAGTGGATGCTGTAGGTTAAGCCAGAAAACAGGTACATCATTCAGCTGCTGGCAGGAAGCGATTTCAGCAAACACAACAAACATATTAGAGGCCTCAAACAGGGTGAAGTTAATTTTAAGTTTTGTATTTGCATCAAGAGTTAGCAAATGATATTTCAAGTATCTTAATGAAGAATGAGAGCTAGTAACAGAAAGTAGCTTCAGCAAGTATTTGTGATACTTTCAAAAAACTGGAAGCGTGAGCCTGGAGTATCTTCCTGAATTCACAAATTCACAAGATCCTGGCAATGACAAGTCATCGAGAAAGATTTCTGAAACACAAGCCCTCAAATTTAAAGATTTCTACTTATTTAAATAACTAATAATTCCTCAGAAAAAATGGGGAACAATAAAACGCAAAGTAGAACAACTTTCCTTTGGTTAACCAATGGTTAACAGCTGGTCTGCTACGGTCATTCAATTCAGAATACTACGATACGCGCACAAGTCAAAACCAACTTCATTGAACTCTTATGCACTGATCTACTGAGAGTCTGACAGGAAAAAAAAAAAAAGGCCAACACCACAGGTTTTAAACTTAAAGAATTAAAATGAGTTTTCTTCAGAGAAAGAGTTCACCTGAAAGAGCCAAATCAGAGAAAGCCCATGTTAGATTTCTTCAGTTAAACTGAATACAGAAACAATTAATAAAGTTGATACTTGAAGGCAAGAAAATGAAACCCCTCACAAACCTTCTGCTGCACCAGCTCAAGCTTTTAAGGCAAGTTACCAAAATAATATTGGGAAATTGATTCTCTAGTGCAAGGAGTATTCTCAGGGTTCACTGACCACCTGAAAAATTGAGGCTAAAAGCCACCTATGTTTGGTCAGCTGAGTGGGGCTGCATTTGGATGCCTAGTTTATAATTTGGTAAACAATACGCATCTTTTACCTGCAGTTTCTCAACAACTTTCATATTTTGTGCTTCTGCAGGAGTACAAATTGCATAAGGAATTTTCACTTAGTACATCCAAAACACAATTTCAGCCAAAAAATTGTTAATAAATGCTCTGGATTCATTCCTGGTCACTGCTATTGTAAGGACAAGAACAAAAGAAAATTAGAGTCTGTTAAGCAAACTATGGAAGGAACAGTGCCTGTGAGACATTTTGCCCAAACCCTCCAGCTCTCTAAAGGTTGCAGATAATAAAAAGCACATTTGCACATCAGCTTCTGGAAAGCCAAAAACCAGATTTCTTCCTGTCACAGAGTGATACCTGTCCCCGCAAACTCAGATCTATGCTGCTTTCTTCTTAGCTGGCCTGGTTATACATTTAATCAAATCCAACAGCACTTCAGGCAGAAGTTATCAAGGGGAATTTGTGATGCATGGCTGTAATCCTACACGATTGAAACTGAGCATATTTTACATCTGGTTCATAGACTGTAATAAGACAATTAAAATCTACAAAAAATATACCATGGATGGCAGTGAGATGTATGGCCTAAAATAAGCTATATATAAAGTGGTTTGTAAAAATCTCTCTAAAGCTATCAAGAAATTTTCAAGGATATTCTGTTACAAATTTTTTTAAACAGCTTTTGTATTTTTCCCTTTTTAATATTAAATCAGAATGAAAAAATGAGCAGTTGATAGTTTCTTTTTATCCCTATGGTGAAAAGATCTAACTGTGAAGAGAATAAGGTGGGAGGAAAAAATCCAAAGATGCAATTATCCCTATATATTTTACATAAACAAATAGTGAATGAAATATTAGAAAAAAAACAACTAAACCAGAGAACAAAAGCTGCTTTAATTACTTCCAATCTTCTAATCAGCTCTGAGACTTATCATACTGAGAACATAGTGGGATAATAACCTTGCATATAGATTTGTATACAATTATACAAATAACCAACTGAATACTTTCTAATAAGTTGCTTTAGACAGTAACTTTACTGAAAATGTTTACTCAGCTTTTTCAACTCTATTTAGTATTTCAATACTGAGATACCTGTCAAAATAGAAAACATTTTTGACTCCTACAGAATAGTAAAGCTTCCCAGTCGTGCCTTACAATTTGATTTCTAAGCAGGTACCATATGTATTAGCATATATATACACATGTTGTACATACACAAATATCCATTAGCATGCATATTCACGTATTAGACATTATGTATACATACATGTGTATAATACATGTCTATATTTGCCAATATATTATGATACCTGCTTATATATACACACACATGTATGGGTATGCTAATATATACGAATATATGCATACGTGTACCTACACACATGCACGGGTGTGTGTACTGGAAACTAAGTAGCTTCCTTCTATTTCGTTTGAGCAGTCTGTTCATCATTTGGATTCCTTTTATTTTAAATCCCTTATCTCTCACTAAACCTACCTAAAAGGGCACCTTCTGCCAGATAAGATAGGCAGTCATCGATTCAAACTTTCATTTGTTGTTGGGTTTTTTGGTTGGGTTTTTTTTTTTTTCAGAATTATCTTTGAAAGCCTTAAAGCCCCCAGATTTAATAAAAACTGACCACAAAGAAGCTGCAGAAGTAGCAACTAATTTCTTCATTCAAAACTAAAATCCGTTAAGAAAAATCTTGATTGCATCAGAATACACATCCTTGATCAGACTGCTGAAGATATTCCAGAAGGACTGAAGACATTTTTCTATGAGACAGCCTTTTTTCGTTGGTTTTAAACTTAGAGGAAACAAAGAATATTACTCATAAAATTAATCTTCTCTTGTTGCTGAACCACAGAATAATTTCGCTGAGTGTTATCACTTACTAACTTGTAACAAGTGTAGAGACGTGAAGAGTTACTATCAAGGAATTAAAAAGCCCAACAAAATATTTATTTCTGGATAAGCTTTTGTTTTGCTACAGGAGTTGAGGTTGCTGGATAAAGAACCACAAAAATAAAAGGAAAACATAATTCAAAGTCCTTTCCCCACCCCAAAAATCACAGTGTCTTTTTCCAAAGCACAACAGGGCCATTTTGCCAAGTCCTAATAAGCAGAAACTGGCAAAGGATTAAAGAAAGCATCTTGGAAGACAACTACAGTACTCCTAAAATTCAATTTGCCAACTTCTTAAAATAGTATGAGCTACAAAACCTGAACCAACTGAATCTACAGACACATCTAAAAAGGAATAGTCTTTCCATGCACACAGACTAAGCATGACCTAGGAATTTTTATGCCTGGACAACCATAAACAAACATACATTTGCTATTATGTTTGGTTTTACCTTTTGTCTCCTCTTTTCTTTTCGCTTATCTTCAGTATCTTGTAACATTTTTTCTTTCCAAAGATCAAAAAAATAGGAAGGATCAGTATAGAACTTCAATCCATCTTTCTTATCATCCCTGGAAATACAGTAGAGGAAAAGCTAAGAAATCTTGAATTAGTATTTTTCAAACCAACAGAACTCACCTTTGACGATTGTACAAGCTTCATCTTTTTTGCATTTCAGGATGACAACATGCCAAGTGCATTAAATGCCGCTCTTGGTAGTTACAGGTTACGATTGCCTTGATTCATGCCAAGAATTTCAGGGGAAAGGGGTGGAGTCCACAGCCTTCTGGGAGGCATGCTCCCAGGCTATGCATCATCAGAGCTCTGCAGGAGCTGACTAGGCTTCAGCATCAGCCAGCTCAGGGTGAAAGTCACTGGTGCTGCAAGAAGATCATTGCCAAGACAGGATGTGTAGAGGAACACAGGAATGGAACTCAACTGCCTCAAAAGGACTGGAAAAGGAGTGTTTGGTTCAATCCAGACAGGTCTTAAGATCTGAATTCGGAATGAGATAGCCCTGAGTACCTTTGCCCTTACGATAGGAAGCACGAGAGTTGCTATTCTCTGTGGGACTATTCTAACTAGGCAACAGGCTAGGAACAGGGTGGCAACTGAAATGCTGAATCCTACCAGACTATTCCAGCAGAATTTGAGACAGAGCTGATCTGGGCTTGCCAGCCCCAAGTGACAGTAGGAGCCAGGGACATCCAGACTAAGAAGCTATAAAAAAGGGTTTGCTATCAAATTCAAATTTGACCCCATGGCCTGGAAACAGGGAATCTTCTAATATCCTTAACTCCTGGGAAAGCAATGAGGGCAAGTCAACACGGCAGGACAGCTGGCATGGTCCAAGCAGCATATGACAGTGATCTCATTCTAGCTTGCTAAACTGGTGTCCTTCATAGTCCCTTTTGGCTGTGGGTCCTATTGATGGCAGTTGAGTACTAATTTCTACCAGTAAGACCAAGAGCAATGAGGATCACACACCTGGAAACCTTACGACCACTGGAGCAGGGTACAGAGAGCGGATCTTGTATACTGTCTGGTCATACGGCCATAAAATCCTTCCTCGCTACATGATCTCACTACAAGTGTCTAACCTACTGAAGGGAGGACTGGGGCCACTCTTCCACTCCTCCAGCTTTGGACTACAAATTGAAGTTTCTTTAAGCTTTGTCCAAGGCAAATACAAATAATTTAAATTCAGCGGATGTACAAGACTTACCAAGAAATCTAATTTAAGTACATTTCACTAAAGTATCCCTAATAAAGCAGGAATAACAATAAAGGTCACCGACACTGTCATCCAGATACGTATTAGGACATAGCTGTGCAGAACAGCTGATCGATAACAACTCTTACTAATTGGATGCCTATAAACAAACACCACCATTGTCTGTAGCAGCAGCAAAAACATGTCCTTCAGCTATAAACTAACAATTTTACTTTCAAAGTAAAAGCTTTTAAAAATGAAATACACTGCAAATGCTCTATGTCATTCCTAAAAAAAATTCAAATAATTTACTGCAGATTGAGTGCCTGCTTTACACAGATACCTCAATCTCATACCTCTCAGAAGTTGAGGGACACAGTAAAAACATGCTGTCCACAACCCTTCGGACAGACAAATTTCACTAATTTCATGAACAACAATAAGCTTAATGGAAACAGGAAGACATAACAAGAAACAAAGTCCTGCTTGCTGCTCTTTTATTCACCAGTAAGTAATCAGGAAAAAGTAAAGATTGTGTGTGCACACGTGTGTACATGTTGGGGGGAAACAGGAGAATAAAGGGAGTGCCAAAGCAACAAATCCAGCTTTCTGGATAAATGACCCAAAGAAAGCAGATTAGTAGATATTAGTTTTCTTTTCACTTTTTACATAACCAATGGCCCTTGCTCTCTGATCCTGTGCTGCCATATAACACTTATGCTGAAATATGACAATTTTTGTCAGGTACAACTTAGGATTTTAGCTGTGGTAATATCAATTTTTGTTTCCATGAACAGAGAAGTCCCTGAAAAAAACAAATCTCAATAACCAATACAGCTTTTCCCTTCTGCTCTAATTATTCTCTGCATACAAGTAGGAGATAAAGGGCAAAGTACAAGAACATAAACAATATTTCCGTACCTATAAGGTGAAAGAATATTCAGTGGTGGTGGTTTGTCACTCTGATTATAAATATCAGCCACCGGGTTCGGAATGCTATTCTTGGAAACTACCTGCTGATCTTGAATTGTTGAACTCTTGAATGCTTTTTTCATGTTGATATCCTGTAATGATACTGTTAGAAACGAAAATACATTTATCACAGGTCTGAAGTTAACATATGGATAAATAAAGTCCATTCCACAGTAGCTATTTAAAATATTTTCAGCAAAATATAGAAGGAAAACTGAAAGATTTTTCTTTAGTGGATAATCATGATATTTAAGCACAAAGGTATATAAGAATTACCATAGTAAGTCAGATTTAAGTTCCACTTGGTCCAGGGCCTCACTTAAAATAATGAGACCATGGACTGTGTCTTGTCTTGGAGGATATTGCAAGAATCCTGTCACATGCAGATGGTCCAATGATCTCCCCTTTGGATGAGATTTAACCTGGACTTCTAATAGCAAAGACTGGCTTCAAGCCTGAAACACAAGGTCTGGTATTCCTCTGACAGAGCATATTTTATAACCGCACGTAGCCATACACATTCAACCCCACTCTAAGTTTAATTAAATTATGGCCTCCACGACTTCCTGTGAGAGTTCCACATCTTTCACCTCCAAAATCTTTCCGCATAACTCAACATCCCTTGATCTTAAGTTTTGCTCATCTCTCTATAAAGATAAATACTTGCCTTCTTTATACAGTCCAGTAACATACTTCCATTTTAGCTTTTCACAGACGCAATTCTGGGGCAAACAAGCCATCTCATCCTTTCATTTCAAATGAAAGATTTAAGTTGCTTTTAATCGTTCCTAACACTTTTAGCAAGACTTTCATTCTTAATATAAATTTTCCTGATACAGAGCAATCATTGCTAAAAAGATCCAGATAATGACAAACACAGTTTAACAGTGGCAGTAAGCTCTCCACATCTTCCATTCTTAGGCAACCTGAAATACAGGGGTTTGACTCCAGTTGAACAGAGTGCTTAAGTCTTCTCGGGCTTCTCTACAATGACACCATTTCCTGAATTGATCCAACTTTCTACAACAGAGTAAGATGTAGTAGTACAAACAAAATACACTGGCTTGTTTTCGTTTTATTCCCATTCACATTTCATCTAATATTTCTTGCCTATTCATCTAATTTATCGAGTGTCAAGAATAAACTCTGAGAATTTCATATGGTAACTGAAAAAGTATTGGGCAAAAATTTAATATATTGATGACCTGCAAAACTAGAAAGGCATAAGGATTGATACAGACCTTGTAAGGTACGCTGTTATCCTTTGTCATCACAGAAACCAAACCCCACTCAAGACTTCTCTACCCAACTATTTTTGTTACCTGTGCTGAGGTCTTGCCTCTCACTCCAAGACCACTTAGATTCTCTCATAGCTTTTAAAGCAGAAAAAAATTAGAAATAGAGTATTTCATTCCATATTGTCATTTGCCCAATCATGTCACCTGAAGTATCAAAACATCATTTTTGAGAAACTACTTTCTATTTAAACCTGCATATAAGTAAAACAGTAAGTTATTTCAGGCAGTTTTTTCAGATGCATTTATCTGAATTGTTACATTCTTGTTCAAAGGAAGACATTCAAAAGAGCACAAATCCCATTTTTCCAGGGCTTTTTAGTCCAAGTCATTTATATTAAACTTCAACTGCAGCATTAGTTATATATAAAACATTTTTATATATACATTACATATTAGTTATACCTAAGAATATAAGAAATCGCTGATACAATTAAATCTAAAGAGGCTTTTTAAAGCAACCTAGCAATTTATACTTCACTTAGATGCCTAAGCTACCCAAAAATGTACTGTCACTAAATACAACGAATTATTACGAAGACTTCAACTTCTAAGAAATTTTATTAGCTATTTTCCTGTACTGACACTAAAGTGACAGCAGCTTGTATATGTAGCTTGTCAACACGAAAGACGATTAGCAATGCAAGAGCAGTAACTGCCATCAATTAAAGTAAAAACTGATTAAATTCTCAGTGCATACACTTATTTCCCCTTCCAATAGGTTGCTTTTAATTACTCTTCAAAATCTGGAAACTAGACAGGAGGTATTGCATAATACAAATGAGACATTGGGATGCATCCATAGGTCCCGAGTGAACTGGTGGATGAAGTGGCTAAGCCACTACCCATCATATTTGAGAAGTCGGGGCAGTCTGGTGAAGTTCCCACTGACTGGAAAAGGGGAAACATAAATCCCATTTTTAAAAAGGGAAAAAAGGAAGACTCAGGGAACTCCAGGCAAGTCAGTCTCATCTCTGAGCCTGGCAAGATCATGAGATCATGGAGCAGATCCTCCTGGAAACTATGGCAGGGCATATGGAAAATAAGGAGGTGACTGGTGACAGCCAACATGGCTTCATGAAGGGTAAACTGTGCCTGACAAATTTGGTCACCTTCTATGACAGGCTTACAGCATTGGTGGATAAGGGAAGAGCAACTCATGTCATCTACCTGGACTTGTGCAAAGCATTCGACACTGTCCCGCACAACATCCTTGTCTCTAAACTGGAGAGACACAGATTTGATGGATGGACCGCTCGGTGGATAAGGAATTGGCTGGATGGTCGCACTCAGAATCATGGTCAACATTTTGATGTCCAAGCGGAGACCAGTGATGAGTGGCATTCCTCA